GGAACGTGGGAGGTGGGGATCCCGGGGGATCTGGAGGCCACATGGATTTGGGGGCACACTGATTCAGGGGGGTGGGATCTGGTTTGGGGGGGCTCTACCCCCCTCCCCGTGTCTCCCAGGACCCTGACGTGTCTGCTTTCTGTTGCAGGAGCTGGGATACATCATGAGGCTGAATGAGGGGCCGACCAGATCCTTTCAGGCTCCCGTGACCGTCCGTAACTACCCGAGCAGCCACGTCTATGTGTTTCTAAACGGCCGGTCGGACTCGGATGAGTCATCGGAGGAAGAGTTTGACATCATGGAACTACGCCCGAGGGGCAAGGAGCAGCAGAGACGCGCGGCTTCCCGGGAGAAGGTCGGGGACGTGGTGCTGCTGGAACGAGAGATTACGGCGGGCGACAGCCTCAACAAGCTCGCTCTGCAGTACGGCTGTAAAGTAAGAGCCGGGCTCCCGTGGAGGATGCAGCTGCTTTAATTTTTAATTTTCTTTAGTCTGTAGTTTCATGGGGGTTTCTGTAACCACCTGTGACTACACCAGATACCTGGTGGCGTGGAAAGGCAGCTGCCTCTGTGTGCGTACGTATGCGCTGAACGATTGGCGCCTTGATAAAAACCAAGCTAAGCAGGGTGCCCGGTGAGTCCTTTAACTCGTATTATAACGCATAAATACTAATAATGATCGGTTGTGGTCATCTCTACGCCCTCCGTGACCTGGATTCCTGTGTGACGCGTGTGACTGAACCATGTGGAGCGCTCACGTAGCTTCCACCCAGCTGTTATTTTATGAGCGAGGGCAATATCTGTATGAAGGATAGGATGGGAGTGCCCTGCCCTACAAGAGCGGGCTGGCTGTTAAGCAATTGGATGGATTCGTGCTGCCTGGTCAGAGGGCAGTGTTATCGAAGGGTTTCTCTCCTCAGGGTGCTCTGTTTGAAGGACCAGAATTTACAGGTATCAAAAGGAGCATGTTTAAAGGAGGTATTTGGAGGGAGTGAGAGTCAAGATCATTAAAGACAGAGGTTTTATTTCGGCTTCCTGCTGCCCCTAAAATGCGTGTGTTCCAGCTGTCGGCAGGGCAGACAGGAACTTCATAGCTGTCTCTGCTTCTCCTCGCTCATGCTGCGAGTCTCAGCCCTTCAAACATGCTCGTCTCACAGTTGCTCGTCTCACAGTTGGCTTTACTAATAGCAGAAGTAGCCCCAGGAGCACTTAATTGTAAATGCACACCATCAGTATGATGGTGGTATGTGCTGGTATTCACACTGACCTGCAGAAGGATTTCAGAAGAAGGGGAACTGACAGGTCGTAGAACTGTCCGAGCAGTATTTCAGTAGTGCCCTGCTGTAACGGCTGAGCAGGGCTAAACGTTTTGGATCCGAATGCAGGACTGCAATTTAAAACAGTCCGTGATATGAAGGTGCAAAACTATCAAAAGTTTTTGTGCCCTGCCAATGCGCTTTGCACTTCTCCAGGTCCAAAGACAAATAGCGCTTGAATAGACTTTGACCAGAACAGGCAGTAGCAGCTGGTATCGCACATTATCCGCTAGTAAATATAAAGTAGTTTCTCAAGTGTCAGCAGTTCTAAAGCAGTGTTTCTTACACTAAGACAAATCACCATGAGCAAAGACTGGAGTAAATTCCTCACAAGGAAGTCATTCAAATTCTGGGGGGACTTTGTCCATCCTTCTCTTACACTGTTTTATATCTCGCATTCGGAAGAGAAGACGGTGCTCTGCAGGACTAGCTTCAGGAAGAATGTCTGAGCCCTTTGGACTGGAGTAGAGGTGTGTGTTTGAACGGCAGCGGTCCCTAGCATTCAGTCCAGTATGGATCTGCTGGTATTTTGTCCCAGTGATGTGCAGGAGGTAACTCCTGGGAGTGAGCTGAAGGACTAGGCAAGAAATGATGAGCTGGGGCTTGAGGTGGGCGGTATCTCAGAGTAAGGAATGTTGCTGTGTTGGAAATCCTGACTTCCCGAACATGATGAGAACATTGCCCTTGATTTCATTAGAGCCAGGATTTTTTATCTCCTGCTTTTAAAGGAAGGCGATAAGTGTTTCTCCTTGTGTAAGACACTTTGAGAGTGATGTTTGAGGTGTCTTCCTTTATAAGAAGTGGATCTTTTACTCTGTCTTGGTTTTTTTGGTGTTCCTTTGCTTTTTGGCTTTGCTGTTAGCTGGGACAGAGAGAACTCATTGCAGCCAAAAGAGCTCCTACAGGTCCGCACTCGCGCGCTATTCCCATAGGCAGCTTCCCTCTGCGCTGCCTGAGCTTGCAAGGTTTGGGTGGTTTGCGTAAGGTTTGTGCTGCCTGGGGAGATTTGTCTCTTCATGTTGGAATGAAAACCTTATTGCTGGTGAACTCTGGGCCTCTTCACGCACAGGGAAACACTAACGCAGCAGGTCTGGTTCCTGGAGTTCTGCTAAAAGGGCTGATCCACTCTCCATTGCAGCCAGTGGATGGACTGCCCCTGGCTTTACGACTTGATTTTCTTAAACCCCTTCTCATCGCCTGCGTATCAGTCACAGGGAGGGTTATACACGTACAGCAAGGCTGCTTGGATGTGTTGTAATTACAGACAAGGTTCCTTGGGTGAATTTGATATCTTTTATTAGACCAACCCAAATAGCTGGAGAAAAGTTATTAAGCAAGCTTTCGGGTTCAAAAACCCTTCGTCAGGCTAAGGAAGTTTCAGCAGTTGGTGTGTGCTCTTCCTGGATGGAATGAAAATGTAATTACAGCGCATTCGAGCAGACTTGATTAATCGAGTCTGCTGGAGCGTGGTAATTACTGCACTCCAGCAGACTCCAGCGTCACGTGTATCAGTGCCCCCATGATGAAAAATGGGGGGGCGCTTTAACTAAAGCTCGTTCAACAAGCTTTAGTTAAAGCGCCTCTGCTGCCATTTTTCAGCGTGGGGACGCTGATACACATGACACTCTGGATGCTTTAATTAGAGCACCCCTCAGAGCTGCTCTAATTAATTAAAGCCCACCCCCATTCCCGGAGCACGTGTATAAATGCCCTGGGAGGCTGGCACTAGGATTAAATTTCTAGTGCCTCCCAGATTCCCAGCATTTAAAACTGCCTGGCTTTCTGTGGCCATCTGCCACTTTACCTGTGCTGCCGGCTGGCTGGGATCTCCAGGGCTGGCCCTCAGCTGGCCAGGAAAGAGAAACTCTTCAAGTGGGCATTGATCATCAGCTGCAGCAACAAAGCTGTTTGAGTTTCTGCTGGAGCTGTTTGCAAGCTCTTTGTTTAAACCAAGTCAGTGCACTGAGCTGGCCGTGCCGCTGCGATTCATTCTGGAAGAAAGAAGTTTGGCCTCTTTCAAGCTCCCCAAAGAAATGTCCCCACTTCCTATAGAAAATGGAGCTTACCAGCATGAAATGAGCACAATGAAGACTAACCCCTAGGGACAGAAGTTACACATAAACCTGCTTGAGTCATCAGAAACTGGTTTAAATAAGTTCAGTGCATATAAACCAGTTTCAAAATGTCCGAAACTGGTTTAAGAGAAACCTGGTTGAATGTTGTATAAGACTTAACTGATTTGGGTCGAATCAATTTATGGAACTTCTGTCCCTGACTCCTTGCTGCAAAGATTGAATCAGTTCAGACTCGGGCTTTTTGAATGTCTGTCCCTGGAAACAGCAGTGTCTGTCTGGCGCTTTGTTTCTGCTGGGGGGTTTCTGCAGTGGCTCAGTTGGATGTGCTGCCTTCGGGTTTTGCCTGGAGCCCTGATGGTGTGCGCCCTGCGCTGCGTGTCTCCGAGATAACTCGGACTCCCTGGCACCTCGTTTGGAGAATTTACCTTCTGCCCTCCCCTTCTGTTGCCAGTTGAGGACCCAGAACAGGGCCCACATGTGGGTTTCCAGCTTTGAAAAGCTGAGTGCTACATTTGCTTACAGCATTGTCCTTTTCATCTCTCCCCAGTGGGTCCAGGGGCACTAACACTGTCTCTGACAAAAAGATCCAGTCATTCATTGCCCGGGGTTTGTTTCCTGGATGGATGTTAGCCATGAGAAAAATCCAGCAGTGTTGGATACTCCGGCGGTAGTGCTGGAGCTGCATATTCCCAGTCTAGGCCAATGTTGTTCAGGTTCTGGCGGTGTCTAGAAGCCCCCAGTCGGCGAGAGTCCCTGTTGGGCTGGGCACTGTACAGATATGGTGGGCTGTTTTCCCTGCCACAAGAAGCTAACAGGGGGCAGAGACATGATGGGGAGCAAAAAGCAGTGGGCAGTCAGTTCAATGTGAACAAGAAGGCCATGTGGTTGCAGGAGAGGTAATCCCTTTTTTTTTCCAGCTGGGATTTCCATAGTGTTCACCAGAGCGCCCCAAGGGATGACGAGGTTGAACGGTTATAAACTACTGCAAGACCATTTCAGGCTGGACATAAGGAAGAATTTCTTTACTGTCTAAGCCCCCAAGGTCTGGAATAGCCTGCCATCGGAGGTGGCTCAAGCACCTACATTGAACACCTTCAAGAGAAAATTGGTTGTTTATCTTGCTGGGATCCTACGACCCCAGCTGACTTTGTGCCCTTCGGGCGGGGGGCTGGACTCGATGATCTTCCGAGGTCCCTTCCAGTCCTGTTGTCTATGAAATCTATGAAATTTCCATAGTGATTTGTTTCTCTCCATCCAACTCATCTCACTCTGTATCTTGTCCTTGCACCATTATCTGTGTGGTCCTGGGTTGTCATTTTCTTCCTCAAATGATTATTTGTACTCTCAAAGCATTAAGCAACCCAGCCATGGGCCAGGACCCCCTTGTGCTGGGTGCTGTACAGACTCAGGTTGGAAAGATGTTCTGATGCCAAGAGCTTACAGCCGAACTCAGCCTTTAGCAAGGAGCTGTTTCTCCCCATAGGTAATCCAGGAAAAAAGCCTCTGGAGGGTGGGCACAGGCTCTCCAGGGGACACCCCCTGAGCTGTTTGCCTTTCTGTCCCCAGTCCTCTTAAAGCTGGTCAGAAACCGGAGCCAAAAGATTTGTGTGCAGTGAGTGCAGAGTGGGGCTACCTGCCTTTACACTGACTTGGCTGAAAATTCCCAGAGCTCTTGATCCTCGCCCAGGAAGCGCTGGTCCCTTTACTTGGACCCAACAGTGGACTCGTAGGCAAGTGCATCATGGGATCCCAGCAGCACAGAGCAGGAGCCTGAGCAGTCCCTGTGCCGGACCTAGGCTCTGAGTTCTCCTATGGTAGACATGGACACAGAAGTGCATTATGCCCACAGAAAGCACCGGCCCCAGTGGCTTGAGCTGGGGAGTGGGGAGGCTCTAGGGTCTGGCCCCTGATATGTGGTAAGATGGGGACCAACCACCGTCATCACCAAGATGCCAACTAATGAGTCTCCTTTTTTTCTGAGAGGTCAAAACACAGTTTTCCTCCAAACTGCTCTCCTGGGAACGCCAGCTGCCCATTCGCAGCATGAGGCTCGGGCAGGGCAGGAAGGAGGCTAAGGACTTCAGCCAGGGTGTCTGGATCTCTTTCTGGAGGGTATGGGAAAGGCATGAAGTGGAGTAAGTTAAAAGGGAGTAAGGAGCAGCTGACTTGTGGCAAGTGTCCATATGCCCACTCCTATCCTGCAGGAAGTGAAAACTAAAGCAGGGCCACTTTGCCCTCCCTGAGACAAGACTGAACTCCTACAGATGAGCTTTTACTTATTGTAGGCTAAGGACAGACGCATGGAAGTCACTGCCTTGCCCCTAAGTGCCGGCAGCACTGCTGGGAGTCCTTGCAGGCTAGCGTTTGAATCCTCCTTGCCTTCAAACCGGAAAGTTAGTTTCATAAGAGATGTGACGAAGTGCGGAAGTCCCATGCTTCTCTCGGAAGTAGCCGTGTTCTTGACATGAGAGTCGCATGTGGTGAAGAAGTGTCACCCGCAGAGCCCGTGGTTCCCCCCTCGATGAGGCTAGTTATGAAATGAGTCTGGTTTCTGCTAGACTTTTCAGCCCGCCGAGAGCTGGTAGTCTGCAGGGATGGGAAGCGGTGTGGGGGCCAGAACATGGTGTGTCTGAGTCTGAAATGAGCAGGGCCAGAGCAGGTTTGGGTTTTGGCTGCAAAATTCCTCTCCGGGCAGGACTAGTGCTACTCCAGGAGACAAGGCAAAGGCAGCACACACTTCACGTGGAGCAGGGTAGTTTTGTTTGTTCATGCACCGATTGTCTGCTCACCCAAAAGAGCTAAAGGTACTTTATTCACAGAGTGCGGGGGGCGTGGAAGTGACTTTAAAAAGTCCTCACCGCCACAGCTTTCCCCAACAAAACTAAGGCAAGAACAGCAGTGGCAGACAGTAGAAACCACAGAGATGGGAAGGAAAAGGCAATAAGGCACACGCAGCATTTCTTTAGGAACCCGTCACACTTCTGACTGCCGGCTGGAAAGGGTACAAGAATATGTGCTTGGTGAGCCCCCATGTTTGCTCCCACCGTACGGACATGCGCAGTGTGTGCTGCGGTTTGTTTTCATGTCAGCAATCCTAAAGGATCACAAGAGCTCAGCCTAATGTGTCTGTCCTTTCTGGTTTCCGTAGGTTGCAGATATCAAGCGCATCAACAACTTCATCCGGGAGCAGGACTTGTATGCTCTGAAGTCCATCAAGATCCCTGTAAAGACCCATGGGGTGTTAACCGAGACCAGCAAAGAATTAAAAGCTCCTCAGAGTGAACGTGCCCAGGCCGCCCTGACCCTCGTTGATCCACCGGAGCCTGAGGAGGCAGCCTCAAGCAGCAGCTATGTTGAATCTGGGCACCTGACCGACTACTTTAAAGGGATCGACAAGAGTATTCAGGACGTGGTGCAGTCGGAAGTCAGTATAAACGTAGACTGCGTTGAGGCACCAAACTGGCTACCTTTTGGCTCTGGAAGACCGAAGGAGGCCAGTACAGGGGCAGACTGTGGAATCCAGTGGTGGAATGCGGTTTTCATCATGCTCCTGATAGGAATCGTCCTGCCGGTATTTTATATTGTCTATTTTAAAACACAAGAGACCACGGCGGCAGCCCATGCCTCAAACACAACGTTTGCCTCAAACCTCTCGGCTCACAGAACCGGGGGGGAATTGTCACTACACTTACCTGCAGAGAAGCTCCCCAAATCGGGGAGACAGCCCAGCACTGTCTCCCTTCCCAACATGCACGCCCATAAACCAGTGACTCTGTCCTCACCAGTTTCAGGGGGCTAATTTAAGTCAATCATAGGTGACTGGTGGGCTGCGGCTGCCGTGTTTTTATGGAAGAATAAAGATGCTTCGTGGCTAACGGAGTTCAACAGCCAGCTGGCTTTATGTTCATAAGCTCTGCCAAGGGAAAGTATAGTGGAGCAACCTGCTCTTTCTTGGTTGGTTCAAGTATCCCTCAAGAGTGGCCTTGTCTAGGAATCTGGCTCTGCAGGCGCTCAGCTATTTAGTGTGTTATTGAGAGAAAAGTCAATCAGGCAAGAGACATTTTATGTGGACAGGGGTTGGGGGCTGGAGTGAAAATGCTTTTTCTCTTGCTGGAACAGAGTCACCCTGGTATCTTTTACCCAAACTGTAAGCTTATAGCTCAAGTAGCCGCACTACACTGCCGTCTGACCTCACTGTGTAGGCTTGTGCCTCTGTAACAGTTTACTCTGCCAGTGACCAAATCAAGCTAAATTTATCTAGAACGATTGAGGCCTCTGCCATGTACAAAGCCTTGCTCTTTCATGGAAACACCTAGACTGCAGTAGGCCTGCACACCACTGTCTTCAGTTGGAGAGCTCACTGCTGCAGTAGGTTTCTCAGGCTTGCCTCGTGGTGGGAAGTTCACCACATTTTCAGTGCCCAGGGAGGTGTCTGAGACACTTAGGTTTGTCAGCCTGTGAATTAGGAATTCAGGTCTCAGCAAGTTGATCTCCCCTTTGTGAAGTGGTAAAGGGGCAGGGCAAACCAGCCCTGTGATATCAGGAGACCCCAGAAAGAGCTGAACTCCTTCCCATGGGTGAGGGCTTACAACACTAACAGTCAGAGCTGGACACAGGCATGGGTGAACCAGGTGGCTATCCAGGGCCCAAGCAGTAAGGGGGCCTGAAAATGGTAATTTTTTTTTCCGTTGTCCGATTTTATTATTATCGTTATCTCTGGCAAAGTGGGGGGGCCTGATACTAAAAGTTCACTGGGGCTGCCAGGAGTCTCGGCACAGTACTGTGAACAGTTTGTTTGAACTGCAGATCCTCGTAGGCATTCTTGGTGCCTGAGCAAGGCACCAGGTCTTGAAAGATGCTAATCAGGCTCTTGATACATCAGAGTCTGTTAGAGTTCACCATATGTTTTTTTCCAAGCCCAGTTCACACTGTGTGTTGGGGGTTTGGAACCGGCAGTAAAATCTTCCTCAAAGTCCATTTCAGCGGAAGGAGAACTGCCAAAACAGTTATGCCACCTCCTGGCTGAACACTAAGGTCACATTTTTGCAGTCCTCCAATGTAGACTACTCCAAGGGACGACTGTACAAAATAGAAAGCTACAGTGTGCTGCCTAAACATCAGCTCTTTCAGCACAGAGCAAACACGAAGGAGCTCGAACCTTCCCAGTGCCCAGACACCAGTTCCCATGGTGCTCCCACTCTGCTTTATGTGTTGGCTAGCCTGATTTTTTTTCTTCCTGGAGGCTGTAGTTATGGCTTGCAGCAAGCCAAGGGCCCCTTGAGCATAGGCAGTAGGTGACTTCATTTTTTTTGTCGGGTGTGGCTCTGGAATTGTGTTTGCTGTAGAATCAAGGTTAACAAGCAGCTTGTTGGTGAGCGGTGCATACGGCCTTGACATTAAATAGCTAGGTTTGTCGTCTTATAGTGATGGGAGCAGGTCGTTAGCATCTTTCAGAGGTGCCAGTATTAGGGAGTGGAGGAAATGGGAAGTCAGGGAAAAGCAACCTTGAAACGCTTCTGTAGCACGAAGGCAGTTCCTGCGCCTCACCTCCACTAGAGGGCACTGCCGCTACAGAAAAGCGTCCACGTCTGCGCTGGGCGGAGGAAGAGAGCCCTAACTTGCGCTGCAGCCGTGTTGGTTGGTGCCGTACCGAGTGCACGGCGACATTGTTTCACGTAGGCTGAATGCGGCGGGCATCTGTTTTCTTTTTCCTTTTCCTTGCAAGGTCAGCGAATATCCCGGTCCAGGGTGCTGGGATGACATAAAGGATCACGACACTCAATATTGCTGTTTGAGATACGTTATTGTTGATGCAGCCTCTTCCCGGCCTGAGGACGCGCACGGACAGCACTGGTGTTTGCAGCAGCCCGAAAGCTGAAGAAGTGGTGTCCGCGGCCAGGGGAGCTGCCAGCTGTGGTGCCTGAGCGCTGCCCCCAGGGCTGGACTGACCAGGGCAGGATTGGGACATGGTTTGGACAAGGGGCTCTTTTGCAGCAAGGAGGAAGCTCTGGGCAGGAGCCAGGGGGGAAAACCTCTGTTGTTTTTAAAAGGTGCCAAAAGCCTCAGGTTTCATAAGGCAGCTGTGTCTATTTTAAATACAAATGTATTTTCTTCTGTGAAGGAAACTCTGTCCCTTTTGTTCTCTGAGGGTTGATGTGAAACTTCTGAATGGCGAATGAGTCAATAAAAGCACAACGGGAACTACCCTGCCTGCAGTCTCCTTCTCTGGCAGCAATGGCTGGTGATGTCCCAGAGTGCAGCTTGCCTTAAAAGGAAGGATGGCAGATTTCAGCCAGAGCCTGCAGAGGCTATTTATGGAGCTGGAGCGTGGCTCTCATTCGCATCGGACAGAAATGCCCCCTTGGCAGCTGCCAATGATGCGTGTTCTTGTCAAAGCACTGAGGCTGCTGTCCATAGGCCTGGACAAGCCTCGTGTGTCCCACTTTGGAGGCATGGGGCTGGCTCCCCAGCAGGATCCCACTTCGTGTTGCGGTACCTGACTGTGTGAATACACAGCAGCCAGGTGCAGTGTCCTGTGCAACACCTGGAGGTACACAGGTGCCCGAGGAGGGAAGCCATCTTCAGCTGCTAAGGAGATGCTGAAACGCAGCATAAGGCCCTCCTCTGGGCAGCAGCAGTTCTGCCATAGCTGGGTGCGCCAGCCCCAGGCTTATCCCATTGATGCCTCCACTCTGGTGCCTGGCACCAGAGGGTTTCCATAAGACAAGGGTTATCTTATAGAAAACAGAGACAAGTCTGGGCTCAAACCCAAGCCAGTGCTAGGGCAGCTGAGAGCCCGTAACCACAAGGCTACAGAAGCACGTACCTCTGGGTGCTCTTGGCCCAATGGCTCACGCGTGGCTGGGCTGAGAGGGAAAGGGCCACTAGTTCCCTTGGCTCTGTTGTGGGCCGGGGTCACTTGGGCACAAGCGCTCCAAGGGCCCAGGCAAAAGCTAAGGGAATTCCTGGTTTTGAACCATGATGTGGCTGAAATAGGCCAGGTTTAAAGGTTTGTTGCTAGGGAGTCTGACGATAACTTCAGATTTCAGGCACTTCCAGGCTTATGAGACCTAAGCCAGGAGCTCTCTGTGGGGTCTCAGTGACTCCTCATAAATAAGCTCCATTTCTAAGGCAGGGAACGCTCCAACCTGGCAGCTGTGGGAACCCCGGGGACCAAAGGACAAAGCTCCCAGATGTGAACATCTAGACAGCAGGTCCTCAGGCTCAACCCTATCTTCAGTGACAGCTGCATGCGTGGCCTTAGTTACCCCCGCCCCTTTCTGGTGTAAGCGACTGGGCCCCAGTCACCAAGGCTGACGCCAAAGGAAAGTCAGAATCCGGCCACGGTTGCACAGCAGCGTTGCCCAAAGGGTTAAAGGCAAGATGCAGCTGTAGATGGTAGACAGCTGAGGCAGCAGGAAGCTGCAGTAACGCCTCCAGATGTCATTGCCATACGCTCGCTGCTCAAAGGGCGGCTCTTGCGCTTCCGCAGGAGCACTGGCCTCTCCTGTGCCCTGCTGATCCACTGCCCATTGCTGTTACATGGGAAGCTGCTGTTCCTGCTACAAGCAGGAAAAACAAGTGTCTGGGACCCTTGATAAAGACCACCCCCCAATCAAAGGCAACGACGTACCTGTCAGCTCTGTTTCCTTTCGGCGTCAATCCTGAGCTGGGCCCATCACCCAATCAGCCAGTTCTGGGACTTAAGTCGTGCCTGGCTCTGCTTCACCAGAACATTATCTCTCATGTCCCCTCCACAGGTGCTGAAGGGGAAAGCACCTGTGACGTGCAGGCACTGCAAGCTGCATGTAGGATGCGTCATCAGCAGGGATTCTGTTTTTCTGTTTCCCACGGAAACCAGAGAAAACCACTGAGTTCCCCTTATCATCAGAGAAAAGGTGGATTTCTCCTCTTAGCAGAGAAACCTGTGGATTCCCTGCTTTAGCAAACAGCTCTGCAGGCTGGTTGAGCTCCAGCCTGCAAGAGCTGTTTGCAAACAGGGCAGACGGGGGGGAAGGGCAGGGCCTGAGGCGCTCAGTCAGCCACAGCTTCACTCTTCTTTTGGAGCCTGTGAAGTGGGGCTTGCAGGGACTGGGGGCTTGTGGGTCACAGCTGGGGGGCACCAGCAACGCTGTGGGGAGCCAGGAGCTGGCTCCGCCACCGCCTGAGCAGGCAGCAGCAGTGGGGGAGCTGGCTCCATGCTGCTTCTGCTGCAGCTGCCTGCTATTGGGGGCAGGGACCTGCAGACTTGGGTCTCTGGCCCCATAGCCCTGGCAGCTGGGGCCCCTCTGGCAGGGCCATGGGGGTCAGGGGCTGTGGGTAGGGGTAAGAGGCACGAGTAGGGCAGGGGGCTGTTGTGGGGGCAGTGAGGGGTACCAGCAGGGTTGGGATGGCTTTGGGGGTCAGTGAGGGGCACCAGCGGGGCTAGAGGGGGCTGCAGAGAGCTTTTCATTTTAATAATGGATTTTGGGGGTTTTATCAGAGAATTTGCGATTTTTGATCAGAGAATTTGTGATTTTTTTTATCAGAGAAAACCAGGATCCATGGTCATCAGGCATGCAGGGGTGCATCTTCACGGTCCTACCTGCTGGCCAGGGGCCACAGGCTGCTTCCCTGTTACGCTTTCATTAACTTCGGTCACGACACACCCCAGCAAGTCACCACGTGCAGACGGGCTGCTGCTGGCAGGAGCTCTGCTTTCAGCCAAGACCAGTTCCCCCAGCATGGGCAAAGTTGCCTCTGGGCTACAGCCAGTCTGGTGTCAAACATTTCCATAACATCAGAAACAGAAACACAGGGCTGGCAGGGCCCTGAGGAGCCATCGAGTGCCCCCCCCCCCCCAGCCCACACCTCGAGGAGGCTCACGTCCATCTAAACCAGGGGTGGCAGTGTGGAGGGGGCAGGACTAATGTGCGGCATGCCTGCCAGAGAGGTTGGCTGCCACTGGTCTAAACCACCTCAACCAAGCATTTCTCCAAGCTGGTCGTCTTGTGGTGCTGGAGGTGCCAGGCCTCTCTAACCCTTTCCAGTCCCTAACTGTGAGGACACAGGTCCTGGGCTCAAAAATAACCTAGGATGGGAAGAAGCCTCCTAGGCCATCACACCCACGCCCTGCAGGCACAGGGATCATTCACCAAAGGACCCCACCACAATCACCACTGCAACCCCTCGCCCACAGTCGCAAGGAGCGGTACCCTGAACACCCCGTAGCCCGCCACAGCTGGAAGCCACGGAGACGAGGGCACTGCCAGTCTGCTGCTGCCAGCACGACAGGCCTGCAGATGAGCTACTATAGGCTCAGAGGAGCCTAGGGAAGGAGCCTTCGTGCCACAGAGGAAGGCAGACGCCTCCGTGCTCTGTGAGAGGGAGGAAAAAGGCCTTTCTGAGCCCAGATCGCATGCCCCTGAGCAGAGGCACCTCTGGGTTTCTGGGAGCATCATTGAGCTACAATGCCATCCCACTGTGCCAGCATCAGCTGTCAGGCACTAACACCCCAATTCACCCATCCCTCCTCTCCCCCTAGAAGCCAGTAGCCTTCAGGAGAGGCAAAAACACATCTGCCTCATTCCCAGCTGCTGACAGCTTAAGCCCTAAAGCCTGGGCTTTTCTCAGCCTTCCCAGGGAAAGAAAGGCCCATGTCATCCCAGGTCAGCGTCAGCGTGACAGCACATTTTGAAACAGAAACGACTAAAGCCAGAATTAAGCTGAAAACTGAAGCCTTAACACAAGCTGCTCCTACATCAAAATGGCTTTGGGTTGCAATTGCCCACCTATGTGCATGGTTAAATCTACTCCTTTACCATAAGCCCAAGCCCCTCCAGCCTCTCGTCTGAAGATGCGACTGAACCAGCTGCAAGTGGCCATGGGTGAGATGCCCGAGACTGAGAAAGCTACAGCCCCCGTGGTTCAGCCACGTCCCTGCCTGCCCTCGGCTCTTGGTTGCTGCTGCCTTCTTGCACAAAGCAAACCCAAGTGTCCGTTCAAGCTAAGGAGGCCTCAGCTTGAACCCCGGGGCGCTATGCTGGGAAAGGCGTGTGACATTTGCTGGCTTAGGCTCCAGCTTTGCAGGCAGCCTGGCTGCTTCTGGGCTTTCCAGTGCAGCGCTGGAGACAGCAACCTGCCCGTTGCATGGGCTCAGCCTGCTGTGGCGAGGCAGCGCGGCTGCCCACATTCGCTGGCTGGTCCACAAGTTAAACAGCAATAGGCACAGCGTCGGAATGGTCCTGGGCATTTCTTGCAGGCAGGCAGCATTGATAGTCCCCAGTCATTAAGCAAAGCATGTCCATAAGCCTCAGCCAACACGCTGCACTGCTGGGATCACGGCTCTTACAGTAACCATGAGTCGCTATGATATTGTTTAGCAGCCACTGCACCTCTGCAGCCATCAGACATGCCTGGCATTTGCTGTTGGCCTGATCCTGAAGCTGCAGACAGGGCACTGAACCATGTCTGCCTGGGAAGTGCCCTGACTGCTTAGCCCCAGCACGCTCACTCGTTAACTTGGTGTTTTCCAACACCTAGCCCTCCAAGCCAAACCCCCACCTCCAGCCGCCACTAACTCGGTAGGGCACAGCTCCAGTGCAGCTACTGCAGTGGCTGCAGCAAGTGTTTATGTACCTGCACAGGCTGGTCCTGGGGCATGACCATGCAGAGCCCTGCTGTGTCACAGGGTCTCAAGCGACCTGCAGACAAGAAAGTAGCATCATGAATTCACCAAAGGCATAGCAATATATCCTGCCCACCAGTCATCCCACAGGCTTTCAGTACTGAGCCTGTCTAGGGGATGCATCCACCCCATGTGCTAACCGAGGCGGAGCAGACCACACGGGTTTGTGCTCACGAGCTCCGTGCATGTGGCTGGAGAAGGTGGGACCCACATAGGTGCTGCGTTACCTGCCAGCCCCATCCTGGCTCCTTCACTAGGACTAGGGCTAAAGCATCGTGGAGGAGCCAGGAACCAGACAGTTTCCCCCTCCTATCCCCACTCCCCCCCCAAAGCAGCGCGCTGGTGCCTCTACTCCAGGGGCAGGCAATTATGTTGGGCGGAGGGTCACTTACTGAGTTTTGGCAAGCCATCATGGGCCGCATGACAGGCAGCCAGGGGCAGATAAATATTCATTTTCTAAATTTTTTAGGGGCCCCACGGGCTGGATAGAATGGGCTGGCAGACTGCATCCAGCCCACAGACAGCATTTTGCCCGCCCCTGCTCTACTCTTTATTTAGCCTGACCATTTGTGAAGGTACACCCCCCCCCCCCACTGATGGCTGCCCATTTTAAATCACCATGCCTTGAAACTAGATCCAGTGGAAACGCTGCTAGCCTGTCGAACTGAGCACGCTTGGAGGAGGGAATAGCAGCTTCGGTGCCACCCAGCAGGCAGGGAGCACGGCGTGATTTCAGATCCAGGCCTGAAATGTTACATCAGAGATGCACTTGGCCAAAGCACCGCAGGCAAAAGGGCTCTATCACAGTAGCAGTCAGCTGAGTGCTTCGCTCCTCTGTGTTGGTGCTGTAAGTTACGCACAAATCGCCAACCACCAGCACAACACAGTAGGTAGGTGCCCCCCTCCCCGTATTTGGCTGGGCGACTGCTGGACAGCCTGAACTAGTGCTCATGTTTCCCCAAACGCACCCACACGCAGAAACAAAAAGAAGCTGTCCCGGGATGTAGGTCTTCAGTGTTTACAAGCCCTCCGAGCCCTGGCGTGCACTGCCAGGGCATCCCAGAAAGAGCGCGGTAGGGGACTGTTTCTACAGCACTATAGCCAAGCGCAAGGAGCTTGCCTCTGGGCCTTCCAAAGGGAAGCCAGTGTTGCTGACCTAGGCCTTAAAAATTTGCCCCAGGACTTAAACCTTGTTTAGGAGCTGGATGTTGGCATGGTTGGTGCAACAGGCCCAGTGGACATCACTAGTTCAATGCTACTACTGGGTGCCTCTTGTGTGCACTACCTGCCTTTCCCAGGATGCCCCAGCCTTCCCTATAGCTACAGCTGTTCAGACAGGCCTGCTTCACCACAGTAAGACTGCCAGGCTTTAAAAACTTTACCAAGCCTTGAACTAGTTACTTGCAAGAGCCAGCTGGGACGCGAGAGATGCGATTTTTAAGCCTCTGTTGCTGCCCTGGGAATATTTTTAGCCGTCAGGCCTCAACGAGCACGCCAGTCCTCCATGGCATTCAGAAATGCCCAGCACACAGCCTTGAACTTGAGCTACCACAAAAGTAACACCAGGAAAAAGAGCAAGCTCAGAAGGGTTAGTGCAATGGGGAGGGCTCCAAGGGTCAGTTAGTGCAATGGGGAGGGCTCCAAGAAATGCATCTCTTAGGCCACTGGGGAAGCAATAGGGCTCCACATGGGCTATTCACACCCAAGAACAGACTGAGTTTGTGCTGGGGCTGTTCAGCAAAGGGGTGTCTTTGGCTTCACTAGCTGAACAGTTAGTGACAGCTAGTGCACGCCTTGCCAAGCAGCCATCCTTCCAGCCAGGCACAGGCAGGGACATGTGGGAGCCCCTCTTGCAACAGGATTCCAGCTTTGCAGCACTCTGCGTGTGGGCAGGGGGTGTAGGAGGAACAGGCCTGGGGGCTGGAGGTGCCAGGGAGAAGCTCCCAACAGGAAAAAGCCTGGAGCATTTGGAGACCCTCTCCTAGAAAGCAGGGGCACAAGAAGGGGAATCAGGGTGGAAGGCAGGCCTGCAGATGAGGCTAGATTGTGCAGTATTATCCAAGGCGATTTGTACACTAACTGCAGACGTGATCGAGGCCAGAGCTGAGAGCAAGGCCACTGCTTGGGAGACCTGGGAGTCGGCAGCAGCCGCCAAGCCTTTTCCGAGCAGCACCCGAGGCGTGTATCCAATGGCTGCTTCTTACTTCCAGCACTTTGCGAGAGTGACTTTTACTCGCTGCTTCCCACGTGCATCAGCCATCTTTCGGCTTCACCAGTATCCCAGCATTCTCGAGCCACCCTGCTCCACGAGTGCAATGGAAAGAGCATTGTGGATGGAACTGAAGCTACATCACGATTACAAATTATTATTTAAATTAGTAAGAATTCATTCACCCAGGCTTGGCTTGGCTTGGCATGTGTCCAATCGTAGCAGTAGTCATATGTTCCAAGTGTTCGTACACGCAGCTAGCGATGCATTCCTAGCGCGGGGCGCAGGAGGAAAGAGCAATGTCCTTTTCTACACATCAGCTATCGAACTAGTTTCACCGGAACGGATTTCTGAGTCTATTCGTGGGGGCGCCACAGAGTCAAGCTGCAGGGACTGCCGCTAGGGAGGAAGAGACGTGGACTGGGAAAACATTATGCAGAGTCCGGAGTACACAGTAAAAGCCAGTATCTTTACTTTAGTGAATGCAGGATACAAATATTTTACAACAACCTCTAGCATTTTCTTAACCATTCGATAAAAAGTTCACTAGAATATTTATTGTATAATGAAGAAAAAACAACACATTCAGGGAAAAAAATTGAGATTAACTTAGTTTTTTCTTAAAAGATTCGTCTCAAGGATGGCAACAAAGTCCAGCTTGTGCCGCCAAACGGCTTATCGTCGTTAAACCGTGAACAGCTTCTTGTGTGAACTGTTGACTACAAACATTTACCAAATACATAAATCTCTTTTAAAAAAGCCATTTTAAATATAGCAAAGCAGTGTTCTCTTGCACAGCAAAGTGAGGAAAGTTTCTACCAAGAAGTAAAGGTTTACATTTGTAAGTCTTTCTTTCACATTCTAAATTTAACTTCTTCCCACGATCAATTGCTAGGAGTTATTATGTTCCTTATTTACTATATATTTCTTGTGCGCGCAATAACTTAGAAAAGTTTTTCATACATTAGTGTCCTTTACAGCAAAAGGAAATGCTAAAGCATTTTTCTCTGACAAACCTGATTGTTTTTTTTCTTAAATGCTACTCATTAGACCTCAAAGCCAGAGCAGTGATTTGTCATCTTGGCCGATCAAACTCTCTCAAATCAATTTACATCCAACAAAGTCATATTAGATTTGATACATCTGCAACTTTGATCCGTGTGTCTTATGCTCATTGAATAAAAAAATCCTGTTTTTTTTTTTCAATTGCTGAAATGTTCTCCTGTGCTATGTCTTTTTCTTTTCTACAAAACAGTTTTACATCTCCTAAAAAAGTAATGTTTCAAAGTTACACTATTAGTGTTATTAAAAATCAGAGTTCCCCTTTTATTATTGGTGTGAGGTTCTTCCGCAGACATATGGGATGTTTGCACAAAGGCTTATCTAATGGAGTCCTTTCCAGGATTATATGGGCTACAGGTTAACAGTCTGATCCTCAGTTCCTAAGAATTGAACAAATTGAAATTAGTCAGTTGGCGCGACTTAAATACAAACTCCAAACCTTATGTAACATTGTTTTAGAAAACATAATGGCGCTGTTTATAAACCTGCATAGAAATAAAGACTATTGAGATACAGTCAGCAAAGCCATCTCGTAAGGCACACAAGAAAATAGACAGTAAATGTGAATGCAAAACTCCCACTCCAATGTACAGCAAAGTTCATATATGTGCATAAATAATGAAAAAAAAATCACATAGCTTTTCAAAGCATTAAAGGTCCTGAGAAGTGGTAAGTGAATTGAGTGACTTTGGAAATTGTTGCCAGGTGAAAAGTGTGATGGTTTCTTTTGTAGGCTTGTTTGAGCCAATAACCGTTCCCTTGATTTAATTTACTAAATACGTTAATTTGAAAGGGGGACTCAATTTTGCCCCAACCATTTGCTTTAATTTTCTATCCCTGGAAGTAACAGTGGCAACACCATCGGTGTCTTAGAAGCCATCTGTGGTACGTTTCTTCTTTGATTATTCATGATACAAGCACATGAGAGAGAAATGGTTTCTCATATGGATGTCCTTCCCACGTTTCTGGGTTAAAGTGGCTACTGAATGACTGGCCAGAAAATTCCCTTTCTAAGAAGAAAGGTGTTAAATATCCAAGGAAAACGTTCTTTAATAAATATCAGGGAGTTGTGTGCAACACAGCCGCCTCTTCATTTCCCCCCGTCATTAAAGCTGCGAGCAGTAATGTTTGTATTTCTTCAAAATCCACATTTTAATTTGGTTCCTAGGGAAGAGGGATATTTTGCATGCACAAAAAGCAGCAAGCAACAGCACGGGCCCAAAGGCATCCATTAGATCTTTAATCGAAAATGTGAGCTAAGCACACTCACTAAAGAGAAGTCAGTTGTGTCAGGTTCTTGGACCCTTCAAGGTGTTGTCTGTACAGATACAGTTTTAGCTTCTTTTTTGTTTTGCAATCTGCAGGCAGCCTAATAACGACGAGAGATGACAGTGCGGTTAACGTCCCAGTAGTGTTGCTCAGGCAAGTGTCCCACTGTGGCAAAAAGTTACTTGCAGGGTACTCCAGATGGGGCTTTAGATACTAAGCAATTACATGACACACTGGGCCTCTGGATTCATCGATCCCTTTCTTGAACAGGGGAAGGAGAGAAGAGAGGATTTATTTCCAAAGAACTATTTTGTTCCCAAACCACTTACCACTTGCAAAACCTTTTGTGCTCATCTGATGTGTGTGATTTCCCTAACATGAGTAATTAGGTCAAGTTTTTCCACTGTTTTTTCTCTCAGAAGAGGCAGTTTTAAAATAATGCCTTAAAATGTGTTGTAACAGATTTTTAATATTTATGCATGATGAACTTAACACCGGATTTTTTTTTTTTTTGCCACTTTGCTATTTATATACATATATATAAAATGTATAATGAAGCTTAACCATACAGCACAGAGATTACAATTGAACGGCACACATTCACCACCAGTGAGGGGGACAACCCCTTTATACACCCTCTGAAAAATCTGGATAATAATATTAATAATAATTAAAATCCAAAGAAAGTACAGTATATTTAACAAAATAGTAAATATTAAACAGTGAATACTCTACTTAATAAGGACCTCGCCTTTTTCAAGTTGGCGTCAATCCACAAAAATATACTTTTTAATCTGGTGAACGTACAATACATAGGTACTTACACCAAAGGTGATAATATATTTAAGATGCTATATACACAAAGAGTTTGGCTCAAATTTTAATTTACATATAGAATAATAAGTGTTCATGGCTTATTTTTCCCCCAAGGTTCCGCCTGCAAGTTTTTCTTTTCCTCTTCTGAAAGCAAAAACTAGAAAGTCAAAATAACAAGATAAAACTATACTCTACAAAAAAGCTACAACATACAGCTTTGGCTTATATAAATAATTCATAGCAGAATGTGTTCAAAAGTACTGTATATAACTTTTATATATAGTCTTCAATTCATAAGGGTATTGTTTTCTTTAATATAAAATATACATGAGCTAAAATCCGTTTCTTTCTATATTTTTCAAAGGTAGGAACGTAAAGAAACTTTTCAAACATATTCCAATTATAACTTAATATATTACTTTTTTATTTTGTTAATGCTCTATTTTCTAGGCTAATATTTTCTGAATATTTCATGCGACCTCTTTGTGTCTCTCTCTCTCTTTCACTTCTAGTCATTAAAAATCACTTCTTTGACCCAATACATTTTTTTTTGCACGTGCAAAACAGGTTTTTATAGCATCAGCCCTTCTCCATGCACCCTCTGCAATAGAGACCCATGCCGGGTTGGGTAATATAAAGGTCATTTTTATGTACAGTATTGCTTTCTTTTTCCTGCTTTTCTACTGCTCTGCTGCTACAAAGCATTGTTTCTTAACTACAAATAACCATACGGCTTTAATAAAACACATAGGGACATTACTACAGGCGAGCCCTCTTGGTTTCTGCAATCTAGTGTGGTAGGATTATATATGGGTACAATGTTTCTTTGCAAAACAGGTTATATTATTAAAACAACAAGTCCAGGTAAGTGCCAGACTAGCCCAATGCCTATAGGATTGTTTTGTTATATTTTTACCATGGGACATCTGCAGCTATACAAGGAGTTCGTAGTAAGTGCCTGCTGATTCTGTGTATGCTACACACACTCGCACATATATATGCATGTGACGATATATATATGCACGTATGTATATACATATAAACATACTTATTTCATGTCCTTATTTATAAATTTAGATATGTCAGGACAGTTCATTATGATAACACAAAAGAGGAGTGACCACACTGAGTGCTTATGTCACCCAGGCATCCATTCTCATCCGTTTCACTGATGGGCTCTCTCTATCTTCTGAATTTGGCGGCCTTCCCAGCCCAACAGGTGAATGGAAATCATTTCTCGGGTCTTCCCGATCGCTGCCATCGTAAGAGCTGCTGGAGCTACTGAGACTGTCAACAGGGGAGCGACCCATTTCCTGCCGTGATTGCTGCTGCTGTTGCTGCTGCTGTTGCTGCTGCGGGAACCCAGATGGAGTCATGCGGTCCCGGGGAGGTGAAATCGGTTCGGACTTGATGTTGATGTTTTGGTTGGTGTTAATGGACAGATTTGAACCCTGAGATAGCTGGCCTCCGGCACTGGGAGAATTCAAACAAAGAAGAGAACAATTCATGCATGCATTTAATTTTTGTGAGATTTTGTAGCCCATACTCTCTCAACGGATACATACTTAACACAGAAGTAAATACAGTTCGCACCAAATGCTACAAGTAAGACAAAGTTGAAAAATGTATCCCAACATCCTGAACTACCTGGGAGGATGTGTGAAGCAAACTCTCTTCTTTATCCTAACTACGCAGTTGATCCAATAGAAAGATACCTCCTTCTCATGCAATTCCTGGACTGTCATGGCTACAGAATCACTCTACGACTATCATAAACTTTGTTCTGTGCGCCTGAGACGAAGCAGAACTGATGAGACTGAGGTAACCTTAGCAGTGTGAGGTAGATACTGCTTTGGTTGCACTCATCCTGTTGGTGCTGGGCCCTTTTGTATCCAACTCTACAGTTCTATATTTTAATTGTGTTTAAAGGAATCAAGACAAACAAATGCTTAACTCCCCAAATGTGTTTAAAGCTTTCAAGTTCTTAGTAATAAGATGCGTCCAGAGTGACTGTTGCTTGCCAAGCATTAGTACTTAGAAAAACAAATTATGTGCTAGACAGACAAACTGGAAGACAACGTCCCCGTCTTTCATAATAATAGTACTGCAACCAAATGTGCTGACTGAGAACTTGGGAAGAATGCCCGTACGGGGGCACGGACGGAGAGACTGAGAAGGCGAGATACTGAATGAGGCCAAGCCCAGGGTCATTCAATTGTAAACCAAGTGGCTGTAGCTCCCAGTTGAGCAGTGCAAGTTAACACCACGCATCTACTTACACCAGAGAGCTGAGGGCTGCCTGCCCTAGATGGTGTTGCTGCCAGGCAGATACCTGTCCTAAAGACAGCATTCCTGGGGAGTTAAATCCCTGCAGGGCAGACAGGTCTGCGCTAGTCAACGAGTAATCTGGAAAAAGAAGAAATGCAGTTTATATTGTGTTCAAGTTACAGAATCAACGTTCTGGCATCCAGCCCCCCACAAACAAAGTCAGGTCCTGCGACAGGACCCCGAAGTGCACACTGATATTTGCCTGGAGTCCCACTGACTTCTTGAGGGTCTGCTCACATGCACTCCCTCTCTGGTCCTTGGCCTCAGAATACGAGCCTGTGCCAATTAGTGCGCCATTTACACTAACATGTATAATACGACACGCACCTCACCTGGCGGGTCTTACCCTAAAAGCATGTGAAAGAAAATGACGTTTTATCATTTACATTTTTGTATATTTCTCCAAGAGCTTCAGAATGAAACAAGAAAATGACCATGGAAAGGATTAATATAATGTATGTGGCCTGACAGAGAAAACGTAATACTGGACAAGAATTATAAATCAGATTCCTACCACTCAGTCCCTTTGTGCTGTTCACTGAATAGCAAGTGAAGGACTGGGAGGAGAGAGGGAGGGGGCGATAATCATAACAGGTGTTATCAGCTCCTGGCCACTTTGTCTTCTGCCACAGCTACAGGCAGTGTTGGCCGAGCACAGCTGTGCACTGGCAGTCCCAGGCTCGGGAAGTTTTTCTTGGTGATGACTGCCAACTGGCTGGCTACAAAAGTCCGTAGGCTGCTCCCGCTCCGATCTACGATGGCACTGAAGCTTGTAGGACGCTTGTAACTGGCTTCCTGGCCCAATCCTCTCACCTGCATCAAAGAGGTCTTGGCCCCCCCCAAAATAATGAAGTCCTATAACTGTAGCTATTCTATAAAACCAATGAACATGATCTTCGGGAAAGAGCCACTCGCCCACAGTGATTATGTAAAGGCTTTTTTTCTTTTCTTTTTTCCGTTCATCTATGCAAACCCAAAACACTCAGCTCCTAAGAGTGAGACGTTAGAATACTAGGCTAAAATGCTAAAAAGCAGACCGCTATCACTGAAGGTCTAAAAAAGCTCAAATTCCCCTTCTTACCACACTTTAGTCTTATTCTTACTCATTTTGTGTACACGAGATTACTTAGATCCCATAAACTAAAGTAGCATTCTTATTTAAAGAATTTTTTTTCAAGGATTTGGAGATAGTTTTCTATGACAGCAGAGGAACACAGTTCAGGTCTCATCAACAATTCAACGACTGGGTGTTACTTTTGGCCAGGATATAATGCTTAGATAGTTCTCGCTGCTCATTCACACATAGGAAGTTATTTTCAGTTCATCATTATCACTTATGTTTTTCTTTCAGGGTTTAAAAGAAAGCTGCAAACACTTTCCTGCCTTAATCACTTTGCAGTACAGCTTCCTTAATAAAATTTCTGGCCTCTTGAGAATGAGACAAAATGCTAGGGAGACAAAACTTATTTTGCATTGCCAGCAGAGATTAACCAAAAATTTAACTTAAACAGGCTCTTTCTGAATCCTCACAAGTGAAATTTATACAGTGACATCTGCCTAAAAAGACAGGAAGTTGCTATTTAAGATTCAGTTTTTCTTGAGATATTTTCCATCACTATACAAGCCGAGTGAGACAGATTTGGAGCTCCCCTGTAATAATTTATGAGCACTATATGCCTGATCGTTGTAAATGTGTTTAAAGTATGCATCTAACAAGTCAATTCAATAAGGGTCTGTGTGCATGCAAGCAGGCAGGAAGAGCAATAACTCAGATAATAGCTTCTCACCAAACACCAGGGACTAATAAGACATGCTGCCCTCCTTGACCACAACTGCATCACAAACCAGTTTAACCAGGCTCAAAAATTTGGGGGTACAGTAGGATTTGGGGCTGGATTTTCAGAAAGAGGGACGGTAAGGGCTAACTCAGGATGAAGGTCTGGACCCACCAGAGTCTATACAAAGGGTGTGGCTAGACTGGAGGTAAGAGATGTATGTAGGCCTTTTCATTGCAAAAAAACCCTCATCTTTATGCCTTATTTGTATTGTTACGGCTAAACAGCAGCTTGTTTTAAGGGGTTGGGGGGGGGGGGGGGGGGGGTTCGCAGCCCCTGAATAGAGGAACTGCAGGCATCCAAACCCTGTCACATCTGTTCAGGTAACTATAGCTTATTTACAGGTTGCCAAAGCCAAGGGTCTGGCTGAAATGAAGAGAACTAGGCGATTCCACCCCCGGGAGATAAACACACAAGGCTTTGCGTCTGTGCTGGGTACAGTGAGAAGGGTGCAGAGGTGCACCTAGCTCATAATGGGTCTGACTAGTTCAGTTAAATAAAGAACCTTTCCCCTCCACGTGCAACAGCTGGATCACACCTTGTATGCGACTTAGAGATGCCAATCACACTCCTGCTGCATAGTGTTGCTTTTATACAAGCCTAAGGAGCAATAACAGAAAGCCCAAATGTGGGCATTTACAAATTACAACACATTTGGTGAGACTTAGAAGCAATACTTCCTGATGGTAAATACTTCCCTGCTAAATTCTAGAGACAAGTTGCATTTGATTTATAGCTAGATGTGATTCGTACCCAGCTAGTAGTGAAAGAGT